CGATCATCTGAGCAGAAGATGATTATTAGAGCGAGTCACTTACCTGGTTTAACAGTTCAGTCCATCCTCTCAAGCAAAGGCAGGATAAGCCGATGCACTGCCAATGAGAGGCAGCCCTGAGCCATCCAGACCGTCCCCGATGCAGCAACCACAGTGAGCAACCATAACTGCGATCCAAGGCAGGGATTCAGATCAGACCGGAGTAGTTCTGGAATCCAGGAGTCCACAGTCCGGTCAGGGGTTCTGATCCACTCAGGAACAGACAGATCCAGGTTCCAGGAATCCATTAGAGCGTGAAGGGTGGTTCAGAGTCCTGTGCGTCGATCATCCAGCTCAGACCAAAACACACCTTGGAGGACAGGTTCAGATTCCCGTGCGCCAAGCATCCAGCAGTCAGAAACCCACAAATAGGAAGAATCCAGCAGGAGTCCAACTGAGGTTCAGGTGGGCAGATCAGCCAGGGACATACAGGGCCAGTGGGTAAGAGGGAACTGAATCAGGAAAATAGAATCACTAGGCCAATGCTGAAAGGCTCTCATCAACTGGTTAGGGACAATAACTCACCTGAGGACACTGGCTTGAGAATAAACTCCTAACTGGAACAGGGACAAGAACCTTGGAACTGACTAAAATTAACAAAACTGACTGACCGGAAAACAGGGAATAAACAGAAGTCAAACAATGATATTGCAGCGATAGCTGGGCTGGACTGAATATAAAGCAGAACCTACAGGTGGATGAGATCAGAGATGATTAGGAACTGGGCAGACAAGGCAGGTGAGTGAAATAAGCAATTAAGGCCAGCTATCAGAGCAGGTCATGTCAAAAGGATTTCAAAATATTATGGATACTATAATATTTTTAAGAAAAGAAAAGATTACACAGCTAAAACAAAGACTCTGGAAGGGGTAATGACCGGGCAAGGCAGTTAAAGGAGACTGAGAGCTTTCTATGTAGTTTTTAGTTTTCTGATCTTTATTTTTTTTATATACATAAGGAAGGAGGTAGGCTAAATTTGCATTGTCTCTCATGTTTTTTTAAGTTCAAAAAGTATTGAAGTGTTATTTTATCTGTTTTTTGTCATCCTGAGCTCCTATCATGGATAAAAGGACACTGTTTGTTGAAATGTTTTATCTATTTTTTATGGCAGAGTCTGCCCCGTTCACACAGCATGTTTCAAAGTGGGTGAACCTGGCTGCTTTACATGTGATAGGGGATTTTACTGTGTATTTTACTTTACCACCCTGTCTCTCTTCCTGTCAGACTCACAACAATTGCTGTGTATGTCCAACCAAAATAGATCAGGGGTCTAGCTAGGTTGGAGCTACACAAGTGCTGTTACAGACAATCCTGTGTGGTCTAACAAGGCCCATGCATTTCCAGAGAGCTCTAAGTTTCAATTCGTTTTTCTATCCAGATCGGATACTAAATGGTGTTTGGTGTGTTCCGCCCGTTAGACTTTTTATAAACATTCTTACCCAAAGATTCTTTATAAAGGAATTTGTAAAAAAAAAAAATACTTTAAATCACTGGTTAAAAAGATCAAGAAAGTTGTAGTACTTTTAGTACTGAAAGAAATCTATTGTCTATATGGTCATTTTCTATAGGTTCATACAGTTCTATGTTAATAGGGATTAGTGTTGAAAAAGTGTGATCATTTGAAGCTGCATAAACCAACCAAACTCACAATTATGTACACATATTTGTGAATGAGTGAGAGGTAGGCAGGTTAAGGGAAACAGTTGTGTGTGTTTGCACAGTTATCTTTGGACACACACTGTTCTCTGATTTGTTAGGGACTGATATTAGAGGCAAAAATAGGCATCACTTTAGCCTGCTAAAGAAAAGATTTTGTATTGTTTCAGATTTCTATATTAATAGAGACTTGCTGAGGAAAGCCATATTTGACAGCGCAATGAATCGGAGAGCTCATGGTTCAAATTGAGTCGTTCTTATGTTGCTTGCGCTCTGACCTGCAGATCACAGGAAATCAACGCACAGTGACGAATCCATTCTTTCTCTTCCATGCCACATCCCTTTCTTCTCCTCATTCTCTGTCACTCTACTTCTGCTTGTCTCTTTGCTATAAAATCCTCATCTGTCTCTTGCTCCTTCAGTGTTTCTTTGTTACATTTGCCAATTCAGTATGTCAGATTTCTTCCTTTTCTCATCTCTGAAATCTGGTTATGTTTGTTTCTTTGATTTTATCTGTATCTTATGTTTTCCTTAATTCATCTCTCAGCCTGTTTTGCATGTAAATAAGGGCTCCCATCTAAGTGTCAAAAGGCTCAGGACGTAGGTTCCAGAGTTCAGACCAGACACACAGTGATACTTAAAAGGCGTTTTATTGAAAAGACTGCTTGCGGCTACTCGTCAGCTGTGGTGGGCTCACTGGATACGCTGGTCAAAAGCTGAGTTGATCAGAGGGATGGGGTAGCCATTCTTGATTGTGATGTCATTTCCACCGCTGTAATCTATACATAGCCTGAGGGAACCGTCCTTCTTCCCCACAAAAAAAAGAAGCCTGCACCAGCAGGAAAGGAAGAGGGACGGATTATGCCAGCTCTAAGTGACTCAGGTCATATTTCTCCATAGCAAGAGTCTCAGGAGCAGATAACAAAAATAACCTCACACTAGGGGTCGGCAACCCAAACTGCTCAAAGAGCCATATTGGAACAAAAAAACAAAAAATAAATCTGTCTGTAGCCGCAACAATGTATAAGTCTTATACAAGCACTGCTCTAAGTGTATCAGCCCAATATCCAACAGGACTACATGGGCTTAAATATATAATAAGCATTCATGATTAAATGTTTATCCTGTGCAAATTTCCCATAGTAGCAAGAGGTGAGGTGAACGCTAAATACTAATTGTTATACTTTTTGTCAATATGCTTTGACTGATACCGGATCTTAATGCCAGATCTGGGGGGTGATCTGGCAGTTCTGGGTCCTTCCACCATAACATCCAGGGGAGTTTTCATAAGGGAGAGGTCGAAATCCAAAATACACTTTTTGTTTTGAGAGCAAGCTGCACAGAATTTTCCATCAGCCTTTTTAGTCTTTTGTCACTGGGCTCCACATGGTGAATCCAATATTCCGAATCTGTTGGGCTTTTCTGCCTTGAAGCTAGCATGGACATCCAATATATTATCCCATCTCAGCTTTGAGTTCAGCCACCGCAGCCAGCTTGCATTCAATCGCACCCACCATACAGCTCAGCTCATGGTCCTGCTCGTTCACAGCCTTTGTGAGCGTGTCAACCGCTGCCCACAGCCTGATCAGTGCCCAAATTGCTGCCGACATCCTCTGTAATTGTAGATACATTAGGTGTCCTCCAAATCCAAACAGAAGAAATCTAAGTATCATAAATCCAAATATTTATATGTCTTCCACATCCTCGACTGATAACATTGTAAAACACACCATCCTCCAAGCCTTACATGAGTCCATGGTGTATCCCAACAAAGTATGTCCTGGCAGGACAGGACAGGTCCCCTTCTCCCTGTCTTCCAGTCGAGAAAATTTGATCAACATACATTTATACAGAGATAATAATGTTAATAAAGGTAGAAATAAGGAATGCTAGCAAAAGGTTTCGGCCAAGAAGGACTCTTCATTGTCCTACCTTACCTCCAGCATAGCCCCCGTCTGTCTCTGGCAACTCCCCTGCATTGGTGCTTTTTGCGTGGGTACGTCTTCAAAGAAGTACAGCCGAATCTGACCGTTATCCACACGCAGCTCTGGATGTCATGGACTCATTTTTTTTAGTGCTTCTGGGGCTTTTCCAAAAATTGATGGTACTCCCAGGCTGATTTAAAAGTTGTCCATAGATAACAATTTAGCAATAGTCAGTGAAGTTAAGTTTCACCTATGCTCTTACTATGAAATATTGACTTTGACATCTTGACAGGAAAGGCCATGGGGCTGCAGAGGTCCTACCTGTTGAAAGTTTTTATACTTCATCTTCATCTGATGCCAGGTGTGACTTTGCCCAGTAAGATTGGCTCAGAATATAATACACTGATATCTTACCATTCAAACAGTAAACTAGTTTTCCCCCTCTAATGTTACCTCTGAGTAGACCTACTTAGAGTTGATTTAAGGTGCAGTAGGAGCTCTTGGAAAAAACGGTGCCAGCAAGCTATTTTTTGAACATACACAACCATGCCTCTCCCTTCAGGCCACTCCTCGAAAACCACGCCTTCGGTCGCTCTGTCCCTGTCCACTGGGGTTCCCGGACCAGCCCCGGAACTCATGGCTCGGTTCCAATGCCCAGTCCGGTTCAGTCTACAACCCATCCACCCCTATTTCACTGCTTGCTAAACGGCATGGGGAGATCTTTAAGCCACATGGTAAAAATATGCGTCATAAAAGATCTCCTACTGCACCTTTAAACTAACTGACACCAGCTGTTGTGAAACTGACAAATCAGAGTTGAGGATTTCCGTCTGAATTAGGTAAACCTGCTTTGTGCAACGGGCCTCTGCTTTTTCCATCAGGGTCACAGTAGAGCCGGTGCCTATCTCCAGCAGTCTATGAAAAAAAGACGGGTACATCCTTCAGCCAATCTGTCACTGGGCAACATGTAGATACAATGGGACATACAACCATTCATACACACTCCCATTTAGGGAAGCCAATTAACCTATGCACGGGGAGACCATGCAAACTCCATGAATTGAGCCCAGAACCTTCTTGTTGCAAGGCAACAGTGCTGGCTGGCTGGCTGGCTGGCTGGCTGGCTGGCTGGCTGGCTGGCTGGCTGGCTGGCTGGATGGATGGATGGATGGATGGATGGATGGATGGATGGATGGATGGATGGATGGATGGATGGATGGATGGATGGATGGATAAATGGATGGAGAACAAATGTAAAGGTGTAAACAAAGTTTTCATTATACAGAAGAGAACAATGCGGTTTATCTTTTGCCATTTTTATAGGATACACATATCCCTATCATTAACAGGATGTGTGTATTTTTATTTGCGCTTTGCCAGAACTCCAGGAAACAAACCAGGCAGCAGCCCCAGAGGGCAGACCCCAGATGAAACCGGACGTCGCCAGGGGCAGAACCACGAAGCCAACTCTTCTGTCAATGAGTTGGCCAACTCTGTCACAAGTGACATGCTCATGGTAACTCACTCTATCAGCTCTGTCTATACAGTATTCATCACTTTGCTAATTCATTCATACCCTAAACCCTTTTCAAATTTTTTTATGTTAGACATACAATTACAATGTAATATCCCTCAACCCAGAATAATCCGATGTCTTTTATTAGCTGCTGTAGAATGAACCAACTACATTAAAATGGTCAAACATTAGTGAATGGGGGAATGTTTTTAAATGCATCAAGCGATTACAAAATTCTACTGTTCACCTATTGTACAAGGCGATAAATCAAATTTGCCCACCATTATCGAACCCACAAGGACAACATTGAAAATATACGCTGAACAGGGTCCCACTGGGTATTCCTTCTAGCTCATTTTACAACAGTTATGCTATGTTGGCAACAATCTTACAATCTCTAAATTCATAGATCTGATTCCAGAAGCAACATTATTCTAAGTCAGAGCAATATCTGATTTTCTTTTACAAATCAGAGACAAGAGTGTAAATGTAAACAGAAAGAGATTGTCAGAAGTAGAGATAGAGATGATTTATTGCTGTGGAAAACCTTGGTAGGGATAAAATGCTGTTGAAATGCTGATTTTAAAAGATATGTAATCTATTTTCTGTAATATAGGATAGTTTTCTTAAGTTGCTTTTAAATAGGTTATTATACAAAATTAATATTTATGTTTTTCTTTTTCTTATGATGAGCTTAGCTTTCTTGTGATCATTGAGTTGGTCATGTTCGAACGTTTTTCGGACATTCAACTTTTGCTTTGGTCATTTTCTGTACTTTAGAAGGCATATGATTGTGGGTTCTGTAAGGGGTTTGAATAATCTGTAAAGCGGCCAAAGCCGAGGAAAAGGCAGAAATGTTGGGTGTCAAATACTGCAGAAGAACCTCCTCAAAATAAAACAAGAAAGTCCAGCAAAAATGACTCAAAAGCTGAAAAATATTTCTTCTTTGAGCTAATTATCGGTTGTATGTCAAATGTTAGTGGAGTGGAATAAAGCTTAAGGTCTGACTACTTATTTTGGTAGCTTTTGTTAATCTGTTATTTAAGCTGTTGTTAAATATTTTTATTGTAACTGACTGTACACATTGTATAGAAGTACTATCCGGAGAACATCAATACTATCTTAGGCACCACTTTAGAACCATTCTTTGCTCTTTTATGTATTGGTAGAAAAAAATATGTAGATCACTAATGTTTTCTTTGTTTTATATAATTATAGCTGCACCAAACACATGCGCAACAAAAGTTATATTTCTGTATATAATATGGTCTGTTTGTTGAGTTGGGGGCCCACTAATTTTAAGAAAGTTGTACAGGAATTGTCTCCCCCACCTGTGGAGCATTTCCACTTTCTCCTACCCTGGAGTTTTCTAGGCTAACTCGGATGTGCAATAATCATTCTGCTGAAGCGAGAGCTAAGAGGGGGAGGCAAGCATGTGCCTTCTTCAGAGAGGTTTGGTAATTAGCTGTGAAGGAACATGCAGGGACGTGGGTGCTCTGAGAATATGGCAGAGATGGGTGCGGATACTTTGTAATTACAGGGGTTTCATCAGGATTCTGCAAAATTCTCACTGACAGTACTTAATGATTATGCTGGGGTTGGGAGCTTTGCCAAAGGAATCTATAGATGTCTTCTTTAGAGCCAGATCTTCTTGCACTTTTTAGCCATTTGTTATAGCTATGCACTGAAAAAAGTCAAAAATTGCTGTTAGTTCAGTGTTTTTTTTTTTGTTTTTTTTTTTGCATTTGATTTCAGTAAAGAATTAAATTGTCAATTGTTCAATTTAAAAAATACAAATAGGGAATCGATCCCAGAGGAAAAAATTAACTTCTTCAATTTACATTTTCTCATTGAGCCAATTGCAATATTTACATGTAAATTATTACTCTGCAAAGTGTAGGTTAAGCGATTGTTAAATCGTTTCAGTGTAGGTGGCTATACTCTATATGCACAAGCTTTATTCCACAGGGAAAAGTGAGTTTAAAAAGTCATAGGGCATCAATGTGTATATAGAGCTAAAACTGTAAAGCTTTTCAGGTGATGTGTGTCTGGATAGCTGGGGGCCCCAGGGTAGCTGTGGCTACAGTGTAGCTTTCCACCATCAGTGTGTGAAAGTGCGGGTGAACAGGTGATTGAATAAATTGCTGACTGTAGTCTGAAGCCCTTTGGCTTCTCCTGGCTTGAAAAGGTGCTATGTAACTGTAGGGCAATGACCATTTATCAGGATCACCTCTGACAAATGTTTCATTTTTGGTGTGATTATCCCAGAATCAGGTTTAGCATAATAATGTTTTTATCCCACAGTTTTACTTCTCAAAACATTATATATGCTTTTTAAGCCTAAGTTTTTAATCAAAATTTTTGAAAAGATAAACAGCAAAAAGATAATGACCAAGAGCATTACATTGTGCAGAACGCTTACCAATTATCGTTTGTTGTCATAACCTTTCAAAGAAATTTGTTCTGTTTATATTTTTTCTTTGTTGTGGAAAAACAGATTCAAGTTGTCTGTTTATTTAACTAATTTAAATGAAATATTTCATTTCAAGTACTTTATTGTCAAATGTGTTCAGATTTAAGCTACATGTATATTGTATTTTTCTCAGCTGGCATTAGAGCAAAAAGAAAGTAAAAAAAAAGAGAACAAACAAATCAACAGTAAACAAATCTCCTTTATGTGTGTATTACAGTTTAGCAATCTTATTGTTTGTGAAATGAAGCTATCATAGTATTTACAGTTGAACTGTGTATTTTGTTGGCTTTTATTAGAATAGAGGAGACAGAGAGAATAAAGATCAAAGGGCTAGATTTTTTTTAATGGCTGCTACTGCATATCAATGAATACTACTAGATACACAATTTGTAGAAGTGTTAATGTTAAGAGTATCAAGTATGTAATGCTTTACCTATGATACCTGAAAATACATGAAAAAATTTAAACAAACTTATAAGTTTAGTTTCTTTAATTCTAATAAACAAAGCAACAATTATTATTTCTGCAGAACTAATATATATTGTGATTGGTAGAGAGATTGAAATTTAATATTTAACAACAATTTGTTTTCATTTTCTTATAAAGTCTTAAGATAAGCAAGCTGATATAAGCTAGTTAAAATGTAGCTGCTTAATAGACACAATGCTTGCCAACTGTTGTCGCCCTGACCAGAGCGAGTCAAAGAAATTCTTTTTTTTTTTCTAAGAAAAAAATAGCTCTAAACATCTTACTGCCAGCTGATCTGCATTGTGATGAAAATCTTCAACAAAATTATAAAGGTTTTACCTTTGCTCCATACCACAAGAAAAATTCAGTTTCACTTTGTCTTAAAGCAGTTTTTAAAATGGGCACTCTCTTTTTAAAAGCAAATATTCATGCCAATGAATGTGTCACTGTTGTCAAAATGACAAGTTATGACACCAGCATCCTTGAACAATCAAGCAAAAAGGTCAAACATGTTTTCGTTGTGACAAATTAATCTGTAAGTGCTTCCCAATGTCATGTAAAGTCAAGATAGCATTATAAATGATGCATGGCACTATAAAAACTATTATTAAATACAAATCAAGACACTAAATGAGCATTTCACTTATATTGTATAAACTGTGCAACTGTTCACAGCATGTGCAATAGGGAAACATAACATTTACAACAAATACAAATTCCCTTTGGCTCAGTAAACCTTACTGCAGTAGTTTTAAAAATGAAAATACAGTAAAACAGACAGTGCTGCAAATCAGACACATAGACCCTCCCGTCTGTCTGGCAACATGTTTTCATCAACATCACAGCAAATATCAGCTCTGTTAATGCACAGAGAAGAGTATCTTCTGGACCCACCCTCTGCAGTGCTCTGATGTGATGTCATCCCAAGTTGCATCTATGGCTGCCTTTGGGGTCATTTGAGAATGTGGACCTGACCCTCACCTGGATTTAGGAATGGAGAGTAGAAAGGCAGATACTCCCTAGGCATCTTGTCATGTGCTTCAAACCACTGCCTGGCTACTGCAGAGTGGTGGAAGCTTACATTATTCCAATCATACTTTGATTGGTTACTCTCACCAGACACTCTGGTGGGAGAAACACAGGTAAGTGACCACAATCATCTGACAGAAGATGATGATCTCAGTGAGTCACTTACCTTCTTTAACATTTCAGTCCATAACCCCTTGAAGGGGCGTGAACCAGCAGATGGGCTGATAGCTGACGCGGCGCGTTACACCTAAGTGTCCCCGGTGCTGCAGCTCCTGAGGATTGGGAGGAAGCCGAGCCTGGACAGGGTTATCAGGCAGGAACAGACAGAACAGGATCCAGATCAGGCAGGAACAGGAAGAAGTCAGGATCCAGGCTTCCAAGGTAATCCACCAGCTCCCAGGCAGAGTCTGACTGAGTCCAGAAGCATGACCAGCCGGTCACGCACAGGAGCAGACATGATCGGGTGCAGACAGGCAGGCTCAGTGGCAGAGGGTAGCAGAGACAGGACGTGGAACCAGAACTTGATGCAGGACCTTTAAACTGGTCTCCACCTTGGAGCCAGGCTTACTGGGATAAAAACTGATCCTCCCCGCGTACAGAGCCAAAAACCCAGAGGGACAGACACAAAACCCTCTTTTTTTCACTGGCCGCCAGGATTCAGGACAAGAACCTTAGAAACAAACAAAACTGAACAGAAAACATCTAACGATCTGGCCATGATAGCTGGAACTGAGCCCAATATGAGGACAACTGGCAGGTGGATGAGATGAGTGAAAATTAGGAGGTGAAAAGGGTTAAGCAGGTGAACGTCATGAGTAATCAAGGTCAGCTATCACAGCAGATCATGACAAGAGATTGTGAAAAAATTAAGTCAGTCTAACAAAGCATCTACCACAACAAACTGTACAGTAATCACTGTATATATAGTTACAGTAACCTGTGTGACCCTGGAATGCAAGTGCAGTGCTTACTGTAGAAATACATCGAAGTTGTACAGTATAACACTTAGCAGAGTAAAGCATGCATACAAGCTTTACCTGCACATGATGTTGACACAGCTGCTTCACTCACTGTTCCATTCAAATGGTACACGTTACAAATGTATCGTTTACATGTCATTCCATGTGAGGACTGTCTATTGTTGAAATTGATTTTGAATAACACTGAATATTGAATAAATAAATAATTTAAATATTTTCAGAGATGTTGTCATTTTCCTGATTTGTATTTCTCGCAGCCTCATAGCATTGTTTGCAATTACCATTGCACAAATGCTTTCCTCTTTCTTTGGAGTCAAAAGGAAACCTCTTCCACCTCTTCTTGGTTGGCGTATAACCTCTACAATCAAATGTTGTGGAGGCTGCACTAACTTGTTCAAATTTTAAATGTTTTGTAAGAAACTCACCAAAGCTACTGAAAAACTGTATTTCCAACAACTAACACATGTCTACTGCTGACAGATTTTTCAAAAGGAGATGATAATAATAAGATATAAAATAAGGACTATAAAAGAAAGGAGGAACTCCGGAAACAAAGTGCTCAAATGGAGGAAAAACAATTTCTCCCAGCTGTTGGGTGGGGGACTGTATAATGACAAGTGATCACGTTAGGCATGGAGAATGAGATATTGCAGAATCTTCGGAAATGAGTGGAAACTTTCACAATTAGATATTCAATTTTCCAACCTTCTCAGTAATCCCTGCTGGATAGAATTTTTTAGTACAGATATGTTTTCTTTTTTCATAAGCCATGGCACGATTTGTATGTGGTTTGTCACTTATCAACTCCCCATTTCCTTATAGTTCCTTCTATTATCCTAATGATGATACAGCCATACAACAGCCTGTTCTGTAGACAGTTAGAATGTGGATTTTAATCATGTTTATAATTTGTGTCTCCTACAGCTTTTTGAAGTTAATGCGATATAACCTGTTCCTCTTTGTGGGAGGGTTCAGTACATTTTCAATAAACAGAGAATATGAAGAGCTAAGTGTAACTCTAATAAGAAGGCAATTTATGTTATTGTGCCTAAATCTCATTAATCCCAAGACAGCACTGCTTTTTAATGTTTTAAGTTTAGTCCATGGAGCTGAATGAATGTCACCCATTCTTCTCTGCCCCATCACTAATTCTGTTTCATTTATTTTTGGACTTATTTTGCAGTGAGCACCTATATTGAAATGATTGGCATATAAAAGAAAAGTCAGCAAATGGTAAAAACTGCCCGAAGTTTAAAAACAAACAAACATTTTTTTTATGTGATAGGTATCTACAGACTGTTATAAAAACTAATCAATTTTTTTTGTTGTTGTTGCTTTTTTCAGTCATAACACTTTGTGTAGATAAATCCTATACCACTCTAAACTTAGGCTATTGTTCCATAAGTGTTGCCTCATTTTTTAAATGAAAATGCATTTGAGCGTCAGAGATGAAAAATTTGGCGACATCCAGTTTTCCAATGCCAAAATGCTTTTGGTTTGATGGGATGAAACTGCATCTCTCTCAGTGGCAAAATGTCATCAGTACAGAGAGAGAGAGATACAGAGATGGGATTCTGTAAAAAGTGGCAGTCCTATATCTCCACTATTAAGTATCAAAGTCTTTACTCCGAGATGTCCAAGCTCACCTCCACAGAGCAGGGTTAAACAGAAACCTCTTTCACAAAATATTTCCATCACACACCCATGAAGACAACACACCATTAGAGCTCCTGCTCACAGTTCACAGAGAGGTAGCAATATCACATTTGTGAATTTTAACAAAGAAAGCCAGCAGTGTGGGACAATAGAAGATGTTGTGTGGCACTGATGCCAACAATGTAATGTCAACCTATAAGGTAACATTCGAAGCAATAATTGAGAAGTCATTCTATTGGCCAAGCAATGGCTTCAGATTTAAATTAGTCAGCAATATTTTCTTAGTCTTTTTAATGTTTTTAAATGCTTCGCTTAGGCTGTCACATGAAACATATGACCATTTCGATGGTCACATGAAACACATATCCATACATATGACTTGTCCCTATGCAAGTCAGCCAATGAAGCACTAGATTCAATTCTTATCTTTTTATGTTTGCTTTTTCATTCTCCTATTTTTTTGGGATTCAACTTTTATTTTTTCAATTTCAACTAAGATTTATAAGTTTACAATTATTATGACCCCTTTCTGCCTCCATACACTAAAGCTGAACGACACGACTTTGAAATCTAATCTGCAACATTTTCCTACCAAATCCATTTTTTTCTCTGATATAAATGACAAATAACACATTACATTCAAAAGCAACCTTTTATTTCAATCATTCCCTTTGTGACGAGACCTCACTTTAAAAGGACAATGAAGTTCAAACTGGGAAAATGCTTGTTTAACTATGTTTCACAATAAACAATGAAAATATAACAAACTAAATGTTTGCAGCTAGTGGTGACACACTGTAAGCTAGTTTATTAGTTATAAGTAAGCATCTGAGAAAAAAACAGTGAGGAACTGATGTCACCATGAGCTATAGAAGCCCAAGAAGTGCATTTGTGGGGGGGGGGGAATTCCAGATTTTCTATAAATAAAATCTTCATAAACAGAAAGTTGATTTAATTGATTAATATCCCTGCCCTGGTGACGACTTTTTCTGGCAATTCAGGAACATAACTCTGGTTTTGTTTAATTTAAAAGCTATTAAACATCTTTACTATTACATATTGGAAACACAATAACTCTGAAATATCTGAATGAATTTAAAACTTAAATAGTTCAGACATTTTTTATTTCATGGGGTCTGTTTCTGTTCATGACAAGTATAAAATTTAGTCATTAACTAGCAGTGATGTTTTAACCACACAAACCAGAACTGGTGAATGCATGTCTTTTAAACACTTTCTAACACTTTTAGGTTTGCTTAATGTAACCATTATGATGCCAAAGCTACATATATGAGATTTCTGATGTCACATTTATGCATCCAGCTGTCTCCAGGTTCTGAAGAGGATGAACACGAGGGTCCGGTGCTTGAGAAACTTGGTCGCATCCAGTTCAGCGTTGGGTACAGTTTTCAGGACTCGACTCTCACTGTCAAAATTCTCAAAGGACAAGATTTGCCTGCTAAGGATTTTTCAGGCACATCAGATCCTTTTGTGAAAATCTACCTTCTGCCAGACAAGAAGCACAAATTGGAGACAAAAGTCAAGAGGAAGAATCTAAACCCCCACTGGAATGAAACATTTTTATTTGAAGGTATTAAGAGAATACTTGCATCCCATTGTATACACATGATGCCCATTTCTTGATAACTTTTACTCATTTTCAATCTGCTTTTCAGGTTTTCCCTATGAAAAGGTGGTTCAAAGGACACTCTACCTGCAGGTTCTTGATTACGACCGATTCAGCAGGAACGATCCCATAGGGGAGGTGTCCATCCCCCTCAACAAGCTGGACCTGGCTAACATGCAGACTTTCTGGAAGGAGCTGAAACCATGTAGCGATGGCAGTGTAAGTCAGGGGCGAGGCAGAGGGAAGACAAGGAAGGGGGGGGGGGGTGAATTTGAAGGGATAGAAAATGGGGTAGAACATGTGATGTCATTTCTGGCTGCTGTGATGCTCCCGGGGGGAGATGTGGCAGCATAACGACAGGGGAGGGGAGGTAGGGAAATATGGAGAAGCTGACAGGTGGACAGATATTTCACAGACAGACAAGAACAGGAAGGCTCAGCAGGCAGAGAGCGGAGATAATTAGAAAAAGGGAAACAAAAAGTAAACAACTTAATGGTGTTGTTTTCCTCTGTGATAAATATTTCTTTTTTCTTTAACAGGGAAGTCGAGGAGATCTACTAGTGTCCCTGTGCTATAATCCCACAGCCAACACCATCACTGTGAGCATCATCAAAGCACGCAACCTCAAAGCCATGGACATTGGAGGCACTTCTGGTATCAATGCTTCTTTGTCTTTTATGCCCATTTATTCATGCATATTTTTCAGAGTCACTGCTCTCAAATGGACAATTGGCTCTTTGTTCCCTGTCGGAAAGTAAATTTTAATTCCTGATTCATCAGAAACATTGTGCAGCAATTGTAGTCAAAAAAATCGTGCCAACCAGAATGTTTTCTATTTCTCAGACCCCTATGTTAAAGTGTGGTTGATGCACAAGGACAAACGCGTGGAGAAGAAGAAGACGGTGGTAATGAAACGGTGCCTGAACCCTGTTTTTAATGAGTCTTTTCCCTTTGACGTGCCGGCCCACGTGTTGAGGGAGACCACCATAATTATCACCGTCATGGACAAGGACAGACTCAGTCGCAATGATGTCATTGGAAAGGTATCTCCTTCCTCTCTCTTTCACGCTGCTTCCTGCCTCTTCTTATCTTCCTCTGTTTCTCTGTCTCTGACAGACCATTAGCATCTAATGAATTAACCAGTCTCTACTGACCCCTACTGGATCAAGCACATCTCCAGTCAGAAGCAGTCAGGATTAAAGTGTGTTTCGGTTTTTTATTGTAATTTCTCCATTTTTAATAGTAATACAATTAATAAACAAAGCATGATTTTTTTTATTTTCCACTTTTTTGGTGTCTGCTTATATATATATATATATATATATATATATATATATATATATATATATATATATATATATATATATATATATATATATATATATATATATATATATATATATATATATATATATATATCTTTAGTTAGCAGTTAAGGATAGCTTGCAAATGATCAGAAGGCTGTCATATGTAGATCTTTTGCACAATTTTGCAGCTGCCTGCAAAATCTTTTTAATTACATCTGAATTCATTCAGATTTTTTTATTCATCACCATTGCCCAAATCAAATGAAGAAGAGTCTTCATAAGTAAACATATTTTAATGTTAATTAAAGGTTAACCTGTGTTTAGAGGTCGAAATTACTTTATATAGGTTGTAGGCAGTGGCGGCTGGTGGAGTTTTCTCCATGGGGAGGTATAAATTAAAAATAGATGTATACCAAAAACCAATCAAACACATACTAAGTTATAACACCAACAACAATAAACATTATAAAAACACTTTATAAAAACAAAACATAATTTCCCTGACAGTTTTAATTTTTGTAAACAAATCTTGCCCTTTCTTAGGCTTTATAAAGGCAAATCTGTGTTTTGCATGGTCCAATATTGTGTCACAAACCTAAAAAAAATAATGTACCAGTTTAATAATGGAGAAGCTATTAGTCAGCTTTATATTGTTTAATGTATAAAAACTATTTATTTTCTGAGAATGTCTTTATTTAAGAGCATTATGCAAATTAACAAACATCTAAAAAGACTAAACTATATTATATTATTTTCAATGTGAATTCCAGATTGTTCATTCTTCTATGCCTTTTCTAAAAAGTGTTTTAAATGAGTCCTTTATCCATGCTGGGTCAGATCCTGATGTTTGAAAAAGGAGGCAGGGAAAGCAGAATAAAGTGTTAGCCTCGCTACATGCAGTTAGCCAAGCTTTGTTGCTAAACCAGGTCCTAGAAAAAGAAGTTTCTTGCTCCATTTCTCTCTCTCTCTCCAATGCGTCTCCAACCCACGCAATTCGACCTGTCAATCACCAGCAAAACGTTTGTGCTGTGGTGGGAGGTGATGAGCAAATACGCCTCCTGTCACCTCAGGGCACACCAGAGCTGTGCCATGAGCTCTCCTATACCTTTGTATTGCAGAGGAGCTACTGCAAATGTACAATTTTTAACAAGAGTCAATGGGCAAAGATTTTTTCTCCATAGGGCGGAAATACGTCACCAATCCGACGAAAAATTATGCTTTACTAGTCATTAAAGATTAAATATTTATCTTGCAGATCTAAAAGATATATATGAATATATATCAATATATTTTGAAATATTTTAAAATTTAATTTAAAATTAAATTATAATTAAAAAATAAAAATGTTATGTCTTAATCAGGGTCAATGAGTGGGTGGGGTGTTGTCCTAGCACCCTCTATTGACCAGCTGCCACTGGTTGTAGGATTAGGATGCTGTAAACCCATCATCTTTTAAAGTTTTATTCCTGAAAAGAAAACTATGGTGCAACCATTCCGCAAACAGCTGTATGTCATGATTGTTTTAAGGATTTGACCCACATGCAGAGAAAACCACTCAGAGAACAAGGCAAAAGTTTAACAAGTTTATTGTAGGTGTTAACAGGAGTGGAGTTGGATCTGGAACTCAGTGAACTGGTGAACCGGAACTGGAAGTCAGAAGGGAAGATCACAGAGATCAGTTCAGGGACCGTGGGAATTTTGGCTTTCGTTAAATTTATGCAGGAGAGGGACTTGCGTTTGAGGGGGCTCTTGTCAATCCTTGAGAGCGGACAGGTAGACAAATGTTGGACCCCGAGGAGTTATGGAGCGGACTGCACTAGGATATCCGATTGGAACTTGAATGGATCATGTTGAGGTTTTCCCCTGCTAAGTGTGAACTCAGGCTTTCCTTCCAGGGGGAGAAGGTCCAGGTATCCAGTTATACAGGAAGGCTTTCTGCCAAAGGACAAAGACAAAAACACAATAAACTCAAAGAAACAAAGCTTGGTTAGACTCTGCTAATCTCAGCTTGGCTAGAGTACCCAAAACTGGCAAACACTCTGGCCTCGAGGTAGTGACAGTCCACTGCTCAAATACTCCTCCAGATAATGATCCAACGAGCTGCAGGTGTGCAGGGAGGCCCAATGAGGACAGAGCACCACGTGGTGAAGGAGAAAAAGAAACACAAAAACAACCACACAAACTGGATTCCTGACACTGTAGCCATAGTGGGGTTGAAAGAATTTTAAGTCTGTTGGACAAAATGACGAGAAGAGAGATTAAGGAATTCCTATGAATGGGTTCTGTAGTAAATACATCTTGATGTAATATATGTTTATTGAATGCAAAAAAAAAAAAAAAAAAGTCTAAACTTACAACAGTCTAGAGCTGCAGCATGCTTAATCATACGCAAAACCACTTTGACGTGATTTGGGTTATCTTATGACTTTTTATGTGTGACCATTGAATAGCTTCTAAATCCAAATGTATTTCATCTAGCCTTGTTTTTGATGTGATGTAACCTCATAAAGGTATTTACTAAGTCTTGTACAGCTGATGACTCAGTTCTAGTGTGTTTCTTTGTTTCTCAGATAGGTGTCAATAAGTCAACAATTGTAGACAGATGTCTTCATGACTGTTTGTTTCTCTTTCTTTCAAAAGTTAAAATCATTGTAACCTGATTGAGGATTCGATGGGATTTTGTGTATTTACACAGAACTAATTCACACTTTACAGAGTTAATTCAGTCAAATCATACAGACAGATTGGTTAAAAGTTTTTCATCTTGGTAAACCCAGATGATTGCATTGTGCAATTGACTTTTGGTATCCCTACTTCAGAAAGAGCATTTACGACAGTGGACATCTGCTTGCATTTTGCCTTTGATTTTGCACTAAGTCATACTAAGCATGCGTGTAGAGATAGTGGTGAGGGGAAAAAAAACTTTAACAGAAGGACACCTCCAGCAGAACCATTTTCAGTTTTAGTGGCCTTCTGCTGAGGCAGACTGGAAGTTTAAGAACACAGAACAGAGGCACAAAATGAACATAGAACCATGAATTTCTATATTAGAGAAGGTGATGGTAAACTGGCTCTCTAGGCTTTGAGTTAGTTTCCAAGTCTAGAGGCTAAAAAAGAGCACACACAGTTAGTTACAGTAAAAGCTGAGTCAGCAGCCATCTTTAGGGGAGAAACAGTACTAAAAACTGAAGAACAGAGCCAACTTTATCATGAAATCATCAATGGCAGAAGCTCAGTGGATGCTGCCCCTCCAGGAGGATGTCGCAGCTTAACATACTGTAGCACCCCACCACATTGCAACTACTATGAATGGAAAAAAATATAAAACGATAAAATTAAAAGTTTCAGTAAAACAAATATTGCAAAAGTTCCTTAAGAACAATGATTTATGTTCCCATCACACCTTGCAGTTTGCTGTGGAATGAAAAGATTGAGTATTGAGTGAGAGATAAAATATTTTAGGTTACAACTACAATACTGGATATGTTATGACTTAATTTTGTTGAAGTGCACCACTTAGACATTTATTTATACAGTCTGTGGATATACACTGTTAATTCTTTATGCTGTCTGTTTGTTGTTTGTTTTTTTTATGCCAATTCTAAAATAGAACCTTAACTCTATTTGGTTTTAACCAAGCACCCACTTGTATTTTTAAGTCTACCTATAAAAGTAAGGAATTTATGTAACATGCTGGAAATATATCATAGTCAGCCTCTGCTCCTTCAGGCTGTGACAGAATAAACTCTGTCTGAGCAGCTTGGATGAGCTATAGCAATTACATCCACTGTCACTGCAGGTGGTGTACATTCTAAGCATCCTTAACTATATACATTATCCACCTACATACAGCAATCATAGTACATTGCCTGTTTTACCATGCATGCTCAGTAATCAGCATTTAGAGCTTTAGAGAAAAATGTGTTTCCTCAAATCTAATCCAAAGATCAGTTATGAATTTTCTAGGGAATACTTTTTAAAGCTTTTCATGAAATGTCCAACTGGTTTGGAAAATGCTCATTATAAATAACACAGATATTGAGTGATGATACATCCGGTATTAAATGTTTTTGTCTCCCAGATTTATCTTTCATGGAAGAGTGGCCCAGCAGAGGTTAAACACTGGAAAGACATGATAAGTCATCCTCGTACCACCGTGGCCCAGTGGCACTCTCTCAAAGCCTGAGGGGCCCAGGAGCCAAACTGTCTAAAGTGTTACCCCACCCCACCCCACCAGGAAGTCAACGTGAGCGTCTCAGCACACATCCCTTCTCCCTAAATGCAGTGTTGGGCTGTCGACCATGTATCACCTCTTTGTTCTCAGGCCTCTTTGATATTCCTCGCCCTCAGTCCTTGTGAATCAGCCCTAAAATTGCACCACCTTGTCAAGTTCTGATTGCCACCTGACTCTTTTACATCGGCCTGAATGAACTTCAAAATGTCTTTGATATCTTAGCTCCCTTGTGCCCTCTTTCTGTACCATTTATTTCCCAAGATATCTTTCAGTCTTTCTTCCATCATATCAGCCATTCCTAGAGCCTAACATCAGAGCAGTAGCTCTTGCTACCCATGGATACAAACTACCAACCAAAAATGAATCAAACTGATAGTCAAATCATCCTCTGTGGCAGCAAGAGGGACTGTGTTTGAGCATAAGGGTGACCTGTGGGAATCATGTATCACTTCACATCTGATATCTCTGCTCCTTCTATTTCCATCTCTGATCCTGCATATCTTCAAAATGCCTAAAAAAAATAAAAAAAATCAGGAAATGAAGGAGTGACGGACTGAATTTCAAATGGACTGGAAGTGGACTCTGTTGTTTAAATTTTCTTTGAACGTTTCCCCTTCTCACTGCCACCACTGTAATTCTCCCATGGCTGGAACCCTTTAGTCGTCTGTGCGTGATGTGCGTGACGTGCCGTAATCCCAAATGATGTTCAACCCAAAAAAAAGGAGGCATGGACATGAACATTTAACACTGGTCTGAAAAGGCAAGTGTGGAAGATATGTTTCCATTTAGAAAAAAAAGAGGAGTAAAGTGATTATTGTACCTTATTTTATTTTATTTTTTTAAAGAAATCCTCCAGAAAGAAAATAAGCAAAAAGCCTCTCCCATTTGTGTGGTAGTGTGGATACATTTATGTATGTATGTGTGTATGAGGGAGTATTTTAGGCCTGCACTGCCAAATGGAGAGAAATAAATATCCTTATCATGATAAATTATGAATTCAGGCAGAGCTTTGTAATTTCCACCTGGTATATAACTATACTTTTGTCACGCTTCATTCTGATAGAGATGTGCAAAAAGCCTTAAAATAAATTCCTGTTTTTTTTACAGCAGAAAAAAATGCTGCAGCTCACTATCCAAATAATTTTTTGATGAAAAAAAAAATTGGGGTTTGATTTTTGCTTCCCTTAACCATCCTACACTCAAGAGTGGATGCAGAATAAACTTTGGTCTTTGGTTTAGACTTTGTTCTAGTTGGTTTAGACTTTTTAAAACACTGCTTCTGAGTTTTTATATGAGAAAATGTGAGCTAAACAATTTTTGTGTAGCTATTTCTTGATTTCTAATTTCCGGCACATTTTCCGGTGTTTATTTTGAGCAGTGACTCAAATAATCAGGAGAAGTTATTGCATATCAGTTCTTAAAAGAACTTACCTATTATTTTACATAAACTTGTGTTTTTTGTGTGTGTGCACATAATACAATGGATTTTGTCACTGCAGCAAAAGAAGAATTATTTAATGGCTGTTTACACTTTGTTAGCAGGTTTTGAATTTTTATCAAATCTATATGTTGAAAAAATGTATTGCAATGACCTCAATCACCCAATTATCACATCATAATGATGTTAGAAATTTCTTAGTAGAGAGTACAGAACGTATAAATGTATTAACTGTCAGATTATAGTGGATCCTTAAAGGTGTATGGTTGAAGCAAATTTGTCATCTTGACAATAATCCTAATATTTTTTTAACTTAGTATTTTTTTAAGTGATAAGTCTTAATAAAAAAGGCCAAGCATGATAATGATAAACTATGTTAATTAATGTAAGTTGCATTTAAATACAAAATCACTGCCAGGACAAAGAAAGAGATAGAAAGACAAATTACAAACTGGATATTTATTAATGGAAAGTGTTACATGAAACACACCCAAATAGCAGCAGGTGAGGTAGACACATTATTAAATATAATAATACAGAAAGGTGGCTGGAGGTCCTTTCTTTCTTGTTTATAGCTGATGTTGAGCTTAGGTTTTTCCACTTTGACGTAATGAGCTTACAGGGATTCACTGAAAAGGAAAAATCTAAGTAAATCTTTTTTTATATTTTCCTTTTCTTGTTTTCTAATTAAATACAGACAGGCAATAAAACAGAAACTAAATGATGAAACAATGACACATTCCAGTAAATCAAAACCACACTGTGCTCGTTAAGCACTGATGGACTGAGCTGTGCCTTAAAGCACAGCAGTGCATTGCCCAGACTCAGTTATAGCTGATTTTGTTTGGGCTTAGGGTCTGATTAAAGTACTGGTCGGCTTCCTCTGTGCTTGTTTTACTGCCTGAGCTTGACCTTCATCAAGCCCCATAGAGGGATGTATTGATCACTTGAGTGAAAACAAATTAGAATAATCAAATTTTAGGGGAGGGGAGAACTTTTACATTCCACAGTTTGTGTTGGTTTGTGCTGGAGGCGTGTACATGAATCTTCACTTTGTGTGAGTGTCAGTGTTCAGACTTTCTACTCTGTGTGTCCACAGTAAGTTTGAATTTACCATTTTGACATTGATTGACACTGTTTACTGTTTTCTAAATCTGTATAAATTTAAATGTACAAAGCAAAATGTTTTTTGTTTTGTTTTCCTAAAGATTGTCTGTATTTATATGACCTACTGCACTTGTTGGGGACTATGCTAGAGCAGACCTCTCCTCATAGCAGGGTTATTTTCTTCTGTCCTGTGTGTCTTGAGATGCAAATATCTCTAAAGAAAAAAAAATAAGCCTAAAATTTCGAGATTTAACCTCCTCAATCTCACTATCATTAACCGGAGTTTATGTTTATACCAAAGCAGCTTCCAGTGTTATATCATAAATGTCAGCTCCGCCCTTTCTGTCTGATCTCATCTCACTCAGCCAAAAAGGCGTCTCCTTAACATCTCAACTGACGCTGCACCAGAACGCCCCTGCCGTGCACACATGCTTCCTGGCACAAAGCGTGCTGCGTGTGCCTTGTTAACTCTGCCACGCCTTGCTCTTCACCATATGCCCTACCACTCAGTCTATGTAGAGGTGGAAGAGGGGTGTTGAGGTAAAAAGGGTAAAAAATAGGATAATCACAAAAGTCAGCTATTCACAGCGCTCATAGCTAAGTCTCAGGTCATGGGAGAAAGTTGAGAAGCTCCTAGAAATAAGGAGCAATAGATTCATTCATGTGTCTTAAAGGCGTTCTTTCTCAGACAAGAGACTTTTTATTTAAATAGTGATTAAAGAGCACTCCATTTCAGAGCTCATGAAGAAACGATTTAAATTAATGCAATATAATTTTTTAGTAAAGATATGATTGAAACCAAATATTTACATACACTGCATAAAAAGACACATAACCTTTATGTCAGTTCGGATATTTAGCTAAACACTAGAATAATGACTATTTTTCAGATCTTTTATATCAGATTCAGAGGTGTACATGTTTTGTATTTGTTTTGTTAGAATTGACCTTTAAACAGTATAAATTGGGTTTAATATTTGGAACATCACATGCTCACACAAATTTTTCGTTGGCCAGAGCTTTGTGATCACAAGTCTGAAACACTTTGACTTCCACAGTGTAAATAATTTATCATCCTCATTAAGGTTAGGGTCATTGTCCCATTTATGCCATTCAACTTCTTGATTTTAAAGTTTTATTATTCGGCTTTATTTTATTTGTTTTTTAAATGGATTCTTCATCTCTAAGTGACCCTTGATTCCATGTTTGTGCAAGATGTGTTTTACTATTGATGATTATCTGTAAGCAGATTTAGTCAACATCTTCACAAAGTAATTTGAAGGCTATGCTCTAAAAGATTTTTGTCTCACAAGCTCTGAATCCTTCTCCTCAATGAATGGTGAAGGTTAAACATTCCCACAATGTTTACACTTGTTTAAAATTTTAATGTTTAAAATATGGCAGATACTAAGAATATGAAAGATTCATTCAAATAGCAAAGGTTAGTGATTCCATTATAAATATCTTGGATAATTCTGTTACCTTAGAAGTAGTGCATTTGAGTTGTTGCTGAAAATTACATCCACAGATGTGACTCCATTTAACCTAAAGATTCAGAATCAGAAGCATAGATGGCCTTTACACTAACATCTCAGCTTCCTAAATTGTTTGACGGCAAAGAAATATTTTTGCAGTAATAAATAACTTCTCTAAAAAGTATAACTCCATTTTCTGGTGTCTAGAAAAGAGCAATAATGCTATTTTATCATCATCAGACAGATTTAAATCATTTCTGACAGAGAGGAAAAAGGGTCATGTGTCTTTGTATATCTTGTATACAAATATTTGGTTAAATGTAAGTTAATTAGGGTTTTAGTTATATTATTGTTTGTTTTTTTTTAGAGATCGAGCTGAAATGTGTCTTTCTAAACATTACATAGTCAACAACACTATCAAAGTTTGCCGAACAAGCTCATACATCTATTCTAGGGCATTCTATTAAAGAACCGCTGGAAATAAAGAGAGGTTTACTGGCAACACTTTGATTTATCTGATGTACGAATAATCGTGAAGTGTCTTGTATTTAAAAAAAGAAAAGAACGTATTTATTGGGGTAGTTGATATCTTTCTGTCCTCAGGATCACTAACTCCTCTTTCACTCTTTTTTTCTTGTGATCACACATCCGTGGGGTGCACAATGTTGAATATCAGCCATAACTTTTTTTTTTTATTATTCTGTACAGTGTAAATAATGATATAAATGTGTATATAAAACAAATATTCTTCTGGTCTGGTATTGATATAAACTTTCTAAAGCACTGTTTTTACTCAATTTATAGATTTTTAAAAATCTTTTATCGATAAAGATTCATTCTAAAGGCTCTGCTGTGAGATTAGATGCAGCTTTGGAGATGGTGAGTTGTTTGATATGAGAAGAGAAGATATTACAGTGATTTATAAAAATGGAACCTGATTCTTAAAAAAAAGAAATCAATAGCATGCTAACTGTGGTAACAAAAGTAATTTAAGCAGATTTAAATTATAAACTCTATTGTTGCCTTGGCATAGGCAGGACATTTTTACATGCTACAAAAGGCAAGTCATTTTCTTTAAACTATAGTTTTTGATTATTGAAGTTGGAATTTGTGAAATAGTTAAGTTTTCAATACCTTACTTTCAGCAGACCTATGTTTTTATTAAAATTTGTTTGCATAAATAATGGTTCTTGTTCCCTGGTTATCACCAACAACTCATGACAGGAGAAATAAAGAGAGGCTATAGAGGATGAGCTTCAGTTCTAGAAAGCCTTTTGACTGCAAGTCATCCCACATACTGTTGACTGAAAGCTATTTCACAAAACCCCACCAAAAAAAAGATTTCATCTTTCAATATTCTATTTTGGCTCTTTAAAAAAAAGCTATTATTCTAATTTACATGAGCGCAGTAATGCTTATGTTGTCATGACTAAGAACAGAGGACCCAGTATTCAAGGCAAGACAAACAGTGGATTACTCAAAAGCGTTTATTTAAAACAAGGATCTGCGGTTCCCCATATGCATCTAAGGCAGGAATCTCTGCAGGAGAGAAACACAGGTTAGTGACCATGATAATCTGACAGAGGATGATTATGAAAGCGCGAGTCACTAACCTGGTTTTAGAGTTCAGTCCGTGCCCAGAGCATGAGGAAGGATCCAGCTGGTGGGCTGCAAAAAGATGAGCAGAGTCTCCTAGACACTGCAGCCTCTGAGAACAGAGAACAAGCAGGAGACAGAAGCCAGGTCAGGCAAACAGCTCAGAGCAGGAACAGGCAGGATGAGAGGTCTATGAGTCCAAAGTTCAGGCAAGCTAAGTGGTTGAGAGGCAGAACAGGTAAGGATCAGGTAATCAGAAACATCAAGGAACTCTAAAAACACTCTCACCACTGGCAAGAGAAAACAAGAATAATAACTGCATACAAGCAAATTAAATAGAGGCAGGAGCAGGTGAATCAGATGAACAGTGATGAGAAACTGGGCAGAGTTAGGTAAATGAAATGAGCAATTAAGCCAGTCCTCAGTGCCAAGATCATGTTATACATTGTTTTACTTTTAACATGCTGAATGATTCCATGTGCAGGAAAGACAACAGATTTTCTTACTTTTGCCGGCATTTGTTTAATTAATGTTTAATTTGCATTCAAAAGTCAAGAACTGCAGATATTTTTCAGACAAGTTCTTGCATTAACTCCTAATAGAGACTAGTCTCAATCACTGCAGTCTGGTGAACCTGTAGTCTGAGGGTTATACTTGTTTCTGTTTCAATTATCAGACATAGTAGAAGTTTAATAACCTCATGCAACCAGTTTGCCAAATAATTAAAAATTATTTGAAATTTGCCCCGGACATTTTTTTAAGAAAATGAAAAATAGGATGTCTGGTCACCCTATGTTTCAGTGATTGAGTGCTTGTTGCTATGATGCAGCTTTGCTCGTTATAAACCAACCAATCAGCACACAGCTCATCTAAATATTCATGGGCATACCATAAAAGGAAGAAACCCTGTCTTTTCATTCTAGGGCTTTTAACCATGCTTGCATTAGGGCGCATAGAACAGCAAATATGCCCTTTTCAGCCCAACCAATGTTACACACCCTATTCAGAGACTTTAAGGACCAGCACCAAATACCCTATATAATCATTCTTTGACCCCTTTAAAAGAAAATTTAACGCAACATCCTAAAGATGGCATATAAACCCTAGAGTTCTGATTTTATCATAATGTTTGCCCTGTATTTTTCCCCCACAGTGTAAGCTCTGTTGGAGGCTGTTTTTTTAGTTGTATGAAGTTATTGCACATATCTAATTAAGGAAACAGCTTCCTCTGCCTCCTACACTTTGGTTTCAATAAGCTTTCAAAGAGTGATAGCATCTCGGAGAAAAATGGTGTTTGGTGTATCGCCAGGAAGTGTTTAATTTACCAACTCATTTGGTCTGACACCTCTCTAAAAATGGAGAGCTATCTTCATCTCTGATCATTATTGAACAAATCAGCAGCAAACTTGTTAAGATGATGGGACATGCATGCTGCCGGTGGTGCTAGATGAAAGTGAAAGCACGTGAGCCAGAAATTCGAGGGTGTCTGCAGCGCTGAGGATAAAACCGAGCTGTCACGACACAGGAAGCAGAAGCAGAGGATGACAGGAGCGCTGGGCTACAGATAGGCGCAGTGGGTGTGCGTGGGAAACTTGAATAAACACTCTAAACAAGCCTCAGAGCAAGAAAGAAGGGAATTGTACCCACCCTGCATGTGGGCTCTTAAGGTGGAATCCTTTTCCTCTTTCTTTTTACAGCCACTGTGGAGGATGCTCAATTATTGTCCATCAAGTTTTCTAAAAAAAATAATATGACCTACTTACAAATTAGACTTCCCACTCCTGTTTTACATAGCATGTAAAATGTTTTAATACATTTCTTTTTTAATCTTGTACAGATGTGTTTGTTTTTATCCAATCTATTATTTTAAAGTGTGAACAAAAAAAAGGCCGTTAAGAACATAGACAGAGGTTGCTGAGGTGTGACCATGTTATGCACAGTAGCTCTCATAAGTGTGTGATGTTTTTGTGATAAAAAAAACAACCCAGTTTTTTTCTCC